CTTTTTATGGTAAGCCTTTTATCTTTAAAGAGGACTTATAGAACCTTAAAGATATTTTAGTTTCTTGTTACAATTTGTAAAACTTCTTTTGTACCCAGGTTACATCCTTTTGGTGCCTTTTTAATATATTTCTCCTTTTTTCCTCAAAAAATATGGTTCTTCATCATCTGAAATTTGATTTTCCAAGATGAGGGTCCAAAAAGGGAGGTTTCAATAGGAACAATCCTTAAGAGGATCAACTTTGCTCCTCTCATTTTGGCTTTGCCTTCTCTTACTGGTCACAGAGACTTTTTCCTTTTAGAAGATCCTGTATCTATGATGCGGTCCTCTTTGCACCTCAACTAATTCAAACCTTAAGTTCTAGACGTACTCCTTATCTGAGGAGTATATTTCCAAGAATTAAAGATGTTCCTTAACCTTGGTTTGACTTTTGGGCCAAAATGAGGAGCCTTCACTAGAAGACTAGGATTCAGGACTGTTCTCAGTGTAAGGGCTGATGCTGAACAAGAAGATCTTTATTTAAAATAAATTTTCTAATAAATAAATTTTTTGTAATTATTTTATTATTTAATATATTTGATTTATTTAACTTATTTAGATTGATTATAAGTTTTTTAGGTAGATTTCAAGTTATAGGATATTTTGATTTACTTTTTAATTGATAAAATCAAAACATAAAATCAATTAAAGAGGAAATTAATCTTGAGAAGCAATTAGAATGATAATGATTCTCATTCTTGCAAGACGTCTTTTTTCACAAATCTCAATGACTGGGAAGCCAATGACATGGCTTCTTTACTCTAGCTACCTGATTTTGTTGTATTTTTAATAACCTTGAATAGAATATTGTCTTCTGAACACTCAAATATTTAAACTTGCAAACTTTACTTTTTGAATCTCATTCCTGCTTCTCATAATGATAACTTTAATAAATAAGAAGCATGATGTCCTTAATAAATGATTTTCAAGTTTCCTGCTCCCTCTAAAGTTAAAGGTTATGTTTGAACTACGGCGTGGGTTAAGTTGAATACTAATAATTTGCCCCAAGGTCATTGACTGAGTCATGCTTTATCCTAATATAATTGAGTGCCTTTTTCCTTTCTTGTGGTCAAGCATGAAGAAAGAGGTTAAAGCTTTACTAAAAGGTTTTTATTTGCTTGGTTGTGAGTGATTGGCTTGAGAGAAATGCTAAATTTTCACTGATCATATCCTACCATTTATGATTCTTTTGGATAAGTTCTCTTTCTTGACCTCTCTTTAGGTTAAGGCATATGGACACTTAAAGGGTTGTTTTATCTAACTTACATTGAGATTGTGTTAGAATATCACAAAATATATCATGCAATATTCTTATATAATTATTAGTTGATTTCCTACTATTAATAGAGTAATTTATGTTTCCGTATATAAATTTTTTTCTATGTATTTATACCCATAACTCTATGTAATGAATATATGTAAATATTCAGAATTTTTTTTCTTAAATCTTACATGATATCTGACTAACGTTAGAGTTAGGGTTTTAGGAGTCAAATTACATTAGATTAAAAGAAGGGTTGAACAACCCATTTCTGGTGCCGGAGGAAGACAACCACCGATCTCCGACCAGTTCAGAGTGTGGCTAGCACAGTGGTGTACGCGGGGGAAGTCGAGGAAGCAGTTCACGTGGCGGTTTGAGGTTGCGTGTGGCGAGACTGCCGGAGGAGAGCATCCCCAAGCGTCTTGGGTTTTTGTTCGAGGAAAGAAGGCATAGAGGAGCTCGGTCAGTTGGTTCTGTGCATGAAACTAGAAGGCCGAAGAAGGGAAAGCTGCGGCGGAGGAGATCGCATGACAGCAATTGATTCTCCGCTTTCTGGGGCGATTTAGGGCGTTTCGGTGAGCGTCATTCCGGATTAGAGGGTGCATTAGGGTTTTGTTGTAATTTTCGGCCGAAAAGAGGAATCTGGATGTTTTTCGGTGGCTGTGCGTGAACTACGGTAGTGGTGCGTTCGACGACGCGTGAGCTCTAGTGGTGGCAGTGTGGTTCTCTTGGGTTTTCGTGTGTGAGGAGGTATTTTGTTTTCTCAAAATTTCTGGTTTATTTGTAGTGTTTTTCAGGTATCTTTAACTGTTGTGTTTTGGGTATTTTGAGTGACATATTTCTTGTAACTCCTGAATTAAAATGGATATTGTCTGCTACTACTGCCATAAACAAGGACATATAAACGGTATTGTAAGAAATTGTAGAATCGCAGAATATAGACCGCTTGTATTGTTGTTGCTACTGCTAACTCATTTTCTGAAAAAATTGTTATAATTTCAGTCGACGAATATATTAAATTCATTTAGTATCGAAAATTTTTGAATAAATTTTTTGTTTTTGCTGAATCAAAGAAAAAATATCTTATATTTTCAAATAGATAGGTGATTGATTCTGGTGTTATTGATCACATGACAGGTAATTCTAATATTTTTTCTAGTTTTCGACCCCCTAAAGCACATTTCCTGTAACTATTGCTGATGAGTCGACTTATAACATTGTGAGGTCCGGGACTACAAAATCAACTTTATCTATTACCCTGTCATTTGTATTAAGTCTACTTAAACTTGTCTTCAATTTGATTTTTATGAGTAAGTTGACTAAAGATTTGAATTGTTGTATTATATTTTTTCCTGATCATTGTGTTCTTCAAGATCTTACGACGAAGCAGATTATTGATAAAGAAAATATATCAAATGGTCTTTACATTCTTGATACTTGCGTGCCTCAGTTGGTTGCCTGCTCTAGTGTCCATTTGAAGTAGATTGTCAATTAGGATATCCCTCTCTACCTGTGTTGAAGAAATTATGTATTCAGTTGCATGATATACCTTTGTTGGATTGCCAGTTATATCGATTTGCATATCATCGTAGTCCGTCAGGTCCAAGAATCAATAGACGAGTTGAATATGCTTTTGAGTTGGTTCATTCTGATATTTGGGGTCCTTGTCCTGTTGCGTTTAAAACAGGTTTAAGTGTTTTGTTGACTTTGTGGATGATTTTTCTTGAATGACTTGGATATATTTTATGAATAATCGTTCTGAAGTATATTTTTTACTTTTGTGCTTTTTGTGCTGAAATCAAGACACAATTTAATGTTTCTGTGCATGTATTGAGAAGTGATAATGTTAAGCAGTATATGTCAGATTCATTTCAGAATTATATGACTCAACACGGGATCCTTTACCAATTCTCGTGTGTTGATATTCCATCTTAAAATGGAGTCGTTGAAGGAAAGAATATACATTTACTTGAGACAGTTCGAGCCTTCTTGTTCCAAATGCGAGTCCCTAAGCAATTTTGAGCTGATGCTATTTCTACAGCATGTTTCTTGATTAATCATATGTCATTTACAGTACTTGATAGAGATGTTTTTTACAGTTTTCTTTTTTCAAAAGTTTTTATTTCCGGTGCAACCTAAGATATTTGATAGCACCTGTTATATGTGAGATGTGCGATCTCGTGTGACAAAATTGAATCCAAATGCCCTAAAATGTATATTTTTTGGATATTCTCGCATTTAGAAAGGATACCGGTGCTACTCTCCATATTTTAATAAATATTTAGTATCAACTTATGTAGTTTTTTTAGAGAATACATTGTTATTCTCCTCATTGTCTAAATCTACAAGTTAGGGGGCATACGATGAGTGACTCATTTATAATTTCACATTAGGTGGCTCTTCTGAGTAAAACAGATAATGGTATTTCTCTAGATAATGTGCCTCCACCTTTACTTAAGCAAGTTGATGATAGTGTTAGTGTGCCCTGGACCCAAGTACCACCATAGATTGTTCATGTTTATTCCAGATGACAACAGACTCATGATACATGTCTTGCACCAGGTCCATTGTCATATGATTCTGCCTCACAGGACCTTGATCTCCCAATTGGTTTTCGTAAAGGTAAACGTTAGTGCATCATTCCTTAGCCAATTTATCCCATTGCTAATTATGTTTCGTATGACTATTTGTCTCTCTCGTCTACTTTTTTCATTGCTTTTATAAACTTAATTTTTATGCCCAAGATAATTAAGGAAGCTGTGAATCATTTTAGTTGGCGGAATGCAATACTTGAGAAGATAAATGCTCTGAATGAAAATCGTACTTGGGATTTGGTGGATTTACCCAAAGAAAAAAGGGTTGTGGGGTGCAAATGGGTCTTTTCAGTCAAAGTAAACTCAGATGGTTTAGTAGCAAGACTTAAAGTCTGACTTGTAGCAAAAGGTTATGCTCAAACTTATGGGGTTAATTATTCTGATACCTTTTCTCCAATAGTAAAACTTACATATGTCCGTTTATTTATCTCCATTGCAGCATCTCACAATTGGCCCTTACACTAGTTAGATATCAAGAATGTATTTCTTCATGGTGACCTTTTAGAAGAAGTGTATATGGAGCAACCACCTGGGTTTGTTGCTCAGGGGGAGCATGGGAAAGTCTTTCATTTGAAGAAATCTTTGCATGGCTTGAAGTAGAGTCCCCGTGCGTGGTTTGACAACTTTAGTGAAGTAGTTATGGAATTTGGGCTGAAGAAGAGAAAGTGTGATCACTTAGTTTTTTGTATACAGTCAACAACTAGTCTTATACTCCTTGTTGTCTATGTTGATGATATTGTTATTACAGGTGATGATTGTGTAGGAATATCCTCTCTCAGATCATTGTTACATATCAAATTTCATACTAAATACTTAGGTCAGTTAAGATATTTCTTGGGAGTAGAAGTAACAAAAAACAAGGAAGAGATTTTCTTATCTCAAAGGAAGTATATACTTGATTTATTTGCAAAAATAAGAAAGTTGGGAGATAAACCGTGTAACATTCTAATGGTACCAAATGTACACCTTACTAAAGATGATGGTGATCCCCTTGATGATCCGAAAAGGTATAGACAATTAGTTGGGAAACTGAATTATCTCATAGTGACTCGTCCAGATATTGTATATTCTGTCAATGTTGTTAGTCAATTTATGTCTGCACCTACAGTTAAACATTGGGAGGTTTTGGAATAGATTTTGTGCTACCTAAAAGGTGCTCCAGGGCTTAGTATACTGTTTAGCAATTATGGACACACTCACATTGAATGCTTTGTAGATGCTGATTGGGCTGAATCTAAAATTGATAGAAGATCCGCTACAGGGTATTGTGTTTTCGTTTGTGGGAATCTAATATCATGGAGGAATAATAAGCAGATCGTTGTGTCCAGATCTAGTGCAAAGCCCGAATACAGAGCTACTGACCAGTCGACATGTGCAGTCTTATGGATACAATACCTCTTAATGGAAGTGGGTTTGAATCTCATATTACTTGCAAAATTCTGGTGTGATAGTCAAGCTGCTCGTTATATTGCCTCAAATCCGGTGTACCATGAAAGAACTAAATACATTGACATTGATTGTCACTTCATTTGTGAGAAAATTCAAGATAACTTAATTTCTATCGATTATGTGAAAACAGGAGAACAATTAGGTGATATATTCACAAACGTTTGGAATGAAATTCGAATTGAATATTTTCGTAACAAGTTAGATATGATCAATATTTATGCTTCAACTTGAGGGGAAGTATTAAAATATCACAAAATATATTACGAAATATTTTTATATAATTATTAGTTGATTTTCTAACATTAACAGGGTGATTTATGTTTTCATATATAAATCCCTCTTTTATGTACATATATCCCTAATTTTATGTAATGAATGTATGTAAATATTAAGAATTCTTTTATCTAAATCTTAAAGATTGGTTAACTATTCTTTCTCAAGATTAGTCGGCTTTTTTAATGTATTTTCTTTTTTCATGTCATTTCTCATTCTTCCTTTTCAATAATATTTCTTTCTCTATAAAAAAAGGGCTCCTGGGTAGGTGTATAACAACCTAGAAAGCATAGGGTAGCAGCAATTATAATGAATATTAGTTAGACTCTTTTGAAAAGAACCAACAGCAATTGTTACTTAGAACATTTATCTGCTGTTGGGGGAACAAAGAACAGTGTAAAAAACTACGGGAGCATTTAAGGAATAGTCTGGATCTCTCATCTCTCTCTCTCTCTGTGTCTCTAATTCTAGTTTTACCCCTCATCACTCAGCCCTGGTTTAGATTTTAAAGTTGGTGGAATTACCTAAGCACTGTTTTAATATGATCTTTTCATGTGGACTGGTTGCCGAAGAAAATGGAAGAAATGGAGTGAACAGTGATTCTGATCTGTGTGTTTGCTTTCAAAATACAAAAAAAGAAAGAAAATAAAATCAGCAGATTTCGTTGTGGGGGCTTCTCAAGTCACTTACAGAAATCAACAACATCAATGCTAATGCTAATGCTAGTGGAATAGGTAGCAATTTTTTTGGATTAGTTTTAGGTTAATGAAGGATTCTGTGTTTCCAATGATTTTTGTCAATCAAGGAGTTGAGCCGTATGTTGGCTTCAAGAGGGAGCTATTCTATTAATATTGAGTAATTTTTGTAATGATAGTGATATTCTTGTAGTGTTAGCTTAGAGAGCAAATCATGTAAGTAGTTTGTGTTTTTTCCATATTCCTTATTTTTGTGCAAATTCCTGATGAAAGGACAGTCAAAGTCAACATTTCTTTTAATTTTTTATTGACATTTTAATAAAGTGGATTAGTGCTGTTTGATTGTAGACCTTAATTTTTTCTCTTGTGATTTTTTTAGGTTACTAGCAGCTCGGTTGATCATATGCATTGCTTTGGTGATGCTGTAGGGTGTCTTCAAGAATCTGGTAAATGAAAAAATTTATTGAATATATATTCTTGAATATGTTTATTTATGGAGTTTCACTTTAAAAAAAATGTTTATTTATGGAATAAATGCAATATTGTTTTGCTAGCATTTTTCTGTTGCAATTGAGTTGTTGAAATGTATAACAGCCATATGTGATACTGTGATGGAAAGTAAACCATTTGAAAATTTGTAATTAAATTTTTTTTTGTTGAATTTTATTCATGATACTTCATTTACAACATTTAACTATATATAGAAGAAGATTAGAGAGAGTCATAATAGAAAACTAAATACAAATTAGTCTCGTAAAAGGAAAAGATTTTTTAGTTATGGAAGTTGATTATGATTCTATTTTATAGGAAGATTTTTCTGAAAATACCAATTTGTATAGAAATTGGATTTCTACAAGAAGTCAGGTTCCTACACTTTGCCTGTGGAAATATGAAGGGCAACTGAGATCATGCAAGGTGATCTCCCTCTCTCCACCAGGATATGTTTATCTGACATATTGTATCATTTTTAGATAGATACGCAGATCATTAAATTTTTTTAGGGATAGCATAATATTTCTAAGTTATATTCCTTATTACTATGTGAGCAATTCTCTTACTGGGCTATTCCATGGATCTTCTTGAACTTATACATCTCTTTTTGACATTGCAGCACTTGATGCAGCAACGAAGGGAAATCGGTTTATAAATTCTTGCCTCAGGTACCATAAACTATTCTGAACACACAATACCAATTACAAAATGACTACAAATTAGAATTTCTAATTAACCAATTATACTAATGAAGAGAACAAACCAAAGAAGAGGACAATGAAAAGAAGACGGTTTGTTTTTCTGATAGGAAAAAGATGATGATAATAATTAAAGGCACTAGGGGTTACCGCCTGCCAAAAATTGGCATGAGAGAGAAATTTTTTTTCTCCAGTTGAAATCCCATTTCACACTCATAATTCATCCTCGATAAAACGAATGACTACCTAGGCACGAGCTAAGGTTTAGGAGATTGAGAGTTGAATCTTGAAAACTTGTAGTTTCAAAGTATCACAAAATTTATTGGGGATTCACTATCACATTGACACAAAAAACATTGCTTTACCAAAATTTTACATCTTTCCCTGGTTGTTGATAGTTAGTATGCTCTCCTGCAGCCACCCTAGTGAAGAAAGCCATTATGTGAGTAGTCTTTGCTTTCTGCACTTGCTTTTAAGTGAAACAGTATCGCATTTCATTTGGCACTGTCGAGTGGGCTTAATAAGATTTAATTGCAAAACTTCCCTCCTTAGAGATCTTCTTTACTGGAATGTCAACATAGACTTGCTGGATAGAAGCACTCTCAACTATGGCAAGAACTAAAATCTAATCACTAATCCTCAAGCATTTGGATGGTGAAGAAGAGCATGTCCTACTAGATTCCACCACTATGTACCTCAAAATAATGTGTAACCTTGTCGTCCGGGAATTGAGTAATGTAGTAGATAGAAGGAAATTCCCCTTTCAGAGACCTTTCACCAAACCAAGTATCATCCTGAAGCAATATGACTGGCATTCCTCATATTGTACTCGATATATCTGCAAAACGCAGCTAATTCCTGCTGATCTGCCTCCACGAACCAGAGCCAAAAGCATCATACCGAGTTCAGAACATGTTAGAACCTTGTGGCTGGAATTCTGTCACAGACAGCTGAATGTGAGGTTGCCTAACAAGCATGAAGTTATTCGTTAGACTTGTGACCTTGCCCTATGATGATAGTTAGGTAATTGGATAGATAGCTTGATCTCTTTGGAGATTAATTTTGAATTTAGGTGATGATAATACAGATGATATATTCCTGTCCAAAAGAATCTATATATAGAGGAGGTTGCAGCTGGCAACGCTCTAGGTTAATAATAACTCTCCTAGATCGTTAACCAAAGGAATTCAAACCCTAAGTTTGCTAATATGGTCCTAATCCTAGTCTTCTTTTATAAATTAGAAGTACATCTGAACCTAAGGATAGTGTTCTAAATAAGGTGTTTATTCGGCAGCCATCATCTTGTGCTTTTTGCTATGAGACCTTTATGTGTAGATTCTGTAGTGAACTGATTATGGTTATTGACTAGAACAGTAACTTTATTGTCTTCATCAACAAGGTTCTTGTCCTCAAGCATTAAATATGGATACCAAGCTTTGACAGTAGCCATGTCTTCTGAAGATGTCTCAAAGAGCATGAAGTGCTCCCAATGGATAAATATTTGTGGCAACTGGCGTGCAGTTGAGAGTCTAAAACTGCTTGAGGAACAAGCTGTAGCTTACTGTGTGTGTTAGGAGGCAACATGGCTTGAGCTGGTTCAGTACCATAAAATTGTTTGAAACAGGAAAATACTGGGTTTATTTCGGAATTACTGGTTGCGTCAGCTTGCGTGGAGGGCGATCATAAAGTACTTAGATGGGCATGGAGTGTAAAGAGGAATTATAACTGGTGTTTTAACAATACTCAGCCAAGGAGATCCAGTGCATCCAATGCCAGAGGTGATCGTTGGTGAAGCAACAGAGATACATCTATGGCCATTGAGGTAGCAAAGTATTTACAGTGGAGGATTCTATGGACATTGAGTTTGCTGCTTTTCTGGCCAATAATACATGCAGCTTGTTTCTTGCCCACCTGGTCCAAACATTGTCCATTCTTGATGGACATAAAAGGTTAAGTGAAAGCCAGATAGTTTGTATGAATGATCTGATTGGTGGCACAACATCATTGTCAACAACCCTAACAGTGATTTTGATGAGAAATTTAGTCCTCTTGTTAAAGTAGCTGTAATTTGAGTGATCTTTCTATCGCAACCTCCATAACTGGCTAATCATCAGCTTGATTTAAAGAATGTGTTTTCTTGCGGATGCTTAAATGAAGATGTGTACATGAAACAACCAAGAGGTCTTGAAGATAAGAGCATCTGGACCATGTTTGTTAGCCTCAAAAAGCTATCTATTGGTTGAAACAAGCTCTCTTTGCTTGGTTCCAACTGTTCACTTCTTTTCTTGCAAGAAAGAATTTATATCCAGTAGGACTAGTTCCTCCATGTTTATATTCAAGCAACAACTGGACATGACAATAATAGTTTTATGTTGACCATATCATTCTTACTGACTCTTCTTCTTCTCTACCCCAATTTGTTTTTTGGCAAAGTTGAACACATAATTTCTTGCGACAAATCGTGATATTCTTAATTATTTCATGGTGTACAGATAACAATTTAGCAATGAAGGCCTACTCTGGTGTCAATATGAATATGCAGAGTCTCCTTTGGTTAAGTGTAATAGAAAGTTGCAAGCCCATTCCTATCCCTCCCATAGCGTATTTTATGCTGTCAGTTAGGGAAGGTAGCTGTCCTTCGTTGTTTGATCCCACCTTTTATAAGAGCACTGTTGGAGTCTTGCAATACTTGACTTTACTCGCTGCTATCAGTCAGGCTTCTAGGAGGTGCATTTAACTGTACAATTATCATTATCAAGCTGTTAAGAGGATCCTCCACCATCTTAAAGGAACTCCTAATTATGGTCTTCAATTGCATTGCGATTTTTTGTTGAATCTAATTGCCTGTTGGGATGTGGCCTGGGCTGGTCGTCCTAACACAAGAAGGTCAGTGTGGCCTGGTGCATTTTTCTTGGCTCCAATTTAATTTTTGGAGTACCAAGAAGTAAACTGTTTTTCAGTTCTAATCTTGAACTGCAATATGGACAAACTTATGGCTGTTTCTAATTGTTTGGGACACGCAAGATCTAAACACATTTAGCTTGGTATCCATTTTGTTCCGGAGAAGGTACGATTGGGGCAATCATAGTACACAATGTTCCTAGTCAAGATTAATTTGCAAACGTTCAGGACTCACATTAACTAGGAGATTTAAGAAGACTAGCTTGCAAACACACATGCACCAATGCTTTTCTTTTGCATGTTAAATGTCAACTCTTCTAACCTATAATTGAAATTCATCTGCAGATTAAATGAGGAAATGAAGGGCATTGAAAATCTGGCCTCACAACTGTATCCATTTTAATTTCCTTAATTAAGCTTATTTGTTTTATTTAGTAATCTGCTAATAAAGGATCACTGAGAATTCATGCTCTACTCTTTTTTGGTACAAGAACTCATCCTGCTTGTGTCATCGTGGAAGCAGGTGGATGTGCACTTGGTGCCTTTTCATAATGACTGCACTGAAATCCTCAAATGATAATGAATTCCTTTTAGGTTTATAGTAGCGTTTTATGTGCTCTGTTAGCTGCATGTTCATGTTGCAGTCCAGTTGTGGTTTCCTTAATGGGTGTAAAGAAAATTCCTAAGGAGTAATGTTGATGCTCTTGACACAGCTATAACCAGACTTCTTCGTCCTCCATGATATGCTGCTCACCTTTGAAAGCCTCATTTTTATCAAGGACAATATATAAACCCATGGTTGCTCCAGTTGTGGGTAAGATATGCATAACACTTTGGGAATCTTTTTAGTTTGCTGGTTTGTCTTAGCTATCGATGGGCATGTACATACTTTTTCTCTTCAATTGTTGAATTGGTTCTCTAGGATCAGCTATTGCCAAAAAAATTACATAATCTCCTTCTAGGTCCCCATCATGTGAAACGAACTACTGATTTGACCAATATGCATAAAGCCTAATATGCTTATTTGGAACAGAAGTTAAGAAGAATCAGTTTCATAGTTGCCTTCGATGGTAACGCTAGTAGGTTTGGGTGGTTATATACAGCAGTCACGTTCAGTATAATTTAATGCTCTCTATACGTGTTCTGAGGAAAAGCCAACTAATCTAAACCTTGCTTCTAAATTGTAATGGACAGAAATTTTGAGGCAAAGCCAACCATAGAAGGGGTAAATGGAGAAATTACTTTCAGTTGGGTATCAAGTGATGTGGTTAGCTGATTACTCTTTGGTTTTTAGGTTTTGAATACATGTTTATGTAAGAATTTATTGATGAAAATTTAGTATGCATCTTTTCTGTATTTTGATAAAGAATCCGTTAGAGGTGTGAGAAGCGTTGTGTCAGCACGTAAACAGCATGGGTCTAAACGTAGTTTGGCTGCATGAGATGCTTGTTAAATGAACAAACATGCTTTATGTATGCATGCAATCCGAATCATTCTTATGTGAAGTATCCTGAAAGCATTCTTATATGAAGTACGCCAGGGTACGAAAATTGCTGGTAGATTTGCTCGCATAAGCTGGCCGTGGTTATGGAAGGCAATGTCTTTGCTCAGATTTCAGTAGGAAGAAAAGTGCAGATTGATGAACAATTGAATCTTCTATTTACCAAAAAAATTAAATCTTACATTATATAATGTAACAAGAGTGGATAAAAATAATAATTATTATATATAAATAAGTAGTAAAATGATGGAAGCATAGGATACAAAATTTGAAATATTCCCAAATCATCTTAATTCCAGTCTCCCCATTAAACAATCTATTTAATATAGAGTATTTTAATATCAATATCATTAGATATATACATTATAGAACATAATAACTTGTGTATTAATCTTAATATGTCTAACTGAAAACACAAGAAATCATTGAGTACACGTTACAGCCAAGTCTTCAAGGAGACTCGTGGAGAACAAAGCAACTAAACACATTACCAAATGAAAATAGTACTTCTCTAGGTTGTAAATTGTGCGATTGTTGATATGTTTTGATTTTGTAAATGAATTATTTATCTTCAATTCAAATTCAAAGTTGATCTTCAAGCAGTTTTTGTACAACCATACCTTCCTATTCAAATTCAAGATTTTGGTTTTCTTATTTATATTCAATTTAATAATCATGTTTAAACTTGAATTAGTAAACAATTAATTTGATCATCTCAGGCTCACCGCATAGATTCAGTTCTTGATTAAGAGACAACAATCTAAAAAAGCCTGGAAGCATATACATAATATCACAGTTTACTTTTTGCAGTTCTTACCATGTATCGTTTTTGACATTATAAAAATCCAAGTTATTTTTTTGAACGTTACCAAAGATTTGTAGGGTCTTCTACTATTTTCGGAATTTTTTTTTTTTTCGAGAAGCTTACCGTGTTGTTGTTACTTGTACCGATAAATTGCCGAAGTCTCATTTAAGTAGATATGAGCATTCTACCAAATGTCCATATTAGGCACTCATTTGGCTGTGTTCTGACTACGGATAAGCAGTGCATTATAAAATATCAAAGTCAGGGATAAGTTGGGCCAGCATTCTGTAGACATTCGCTATGGCTATGTTCTTTTAGTTGCTTCATTGTTAGACCGATGTAAACAGGGTAATCCTCTTACTGCACAGATCATGCATAAGCTAAAATCCAGGCTCAAGTTTCTTCCAACTTGCACCGTCAAATAGACTACATATCAAGCTAATTATATTCTCACAATGTTAAATCTCCTGTAAATAACTTTTAAGGGTTTAATATCTAGACAAATTTTTATGTTTACTGTGTAATATATGACTTATGTAATAAATTTACAGTTCTTAAAAAAAAAAAGAAAAACAAGTATCGTTCTTCCGACTCTTTGTGAGGCATTCACCATTAAGCTCTTGTTAGTTGACAATCATCTGCTTGATTAGAGGCAACACGATATGGATTTGGTGCGAGGGATCCTTGTCTCACCGCTCGTTAGAAGTCGGGCTCGACCAACTTTAAAAGGAAACCCAGATGAAAAAACACACGGATCTTCTGCGTTCCTATGTGTATGTATCTACAGAATTGCTAGAGTTTGGAAGAAAATAACTCTCTGTGGTAACAGGTATACGTATGCCTGATCCATTTATACATATACAAATGTCGCATTCTCATTGTGACGACTAAGAAAAGAATTCCAAAAAAAAAAAATGCAAAGATTTTTTCGTTTCATTCATCTCGTATTGCTTAGATTTCTCTGTATTTCTGAACAGGTTTTCCTTCAATCTACTTTCAGAAAGATCTCTTAAATTCAAGATGTACAAAAATCTGCTAACGCAGACCTTTTACATTCTACACATTGGTAAGAGATATCTAGTTGATTTGAGTTTAGAATTCTTATACTAGTCAGTCATATTTCATAATATTTTATTTTAATTAATAAATTATTGATACGATACTTTTAAATAAATTAAATATAAAATAACTGAAAGTATCAAAATATTAAATTACAAAATAAATATAAATATATACACACGCACACACGCTTGAGTCAGAATTCCTTCTTTTTTTTAAATATATATATATATGTATATATATCTCCATCATCTCTCCTATAATTGTCAGTGTATTTGTCGTGCGCGTTGGATTGAATTTCAATAGAAGTCAAAGGCACAACCAATTAACTTTGAAAGAAAGTTTTATTCGAAATCTAAATATTCAAGAAATTAATTAATTTTGAAAAGGAAAATTGGTTGGTAAACAGGAGAATTGAACTGAAGACGAAAGTGACTTAAAATCAAAGTCAGTTCATATTATTAATACTTAATAATTTAACACAAACAAGTAATTAATATAGGGCTGCTTTTGGAGAATGGTGACCTCCCAAAAAACAAATACTACCAATCACATTTTACATTATGTAATCAATCACCAATTTAATAATTTAAACCATGTGCAAATTTAAAATTTTAATTTTAATTTATCGGTCAATAATTTATATATTATGTTTTGACTTTAAGAGCTGTTGAAAATAATAAATAAATAAATAAATAAATAAAAAATAATGACGACGGATAATAAATAATAAATAAAAATTACGATTACGTATATGAAATAGTAATAAATGACAGATGACGAAAAATGTGGCAACCAATAGTCGATGAGAGGTAACCAGCAAAGGGTAAAGAATAGTTGACGAGGGTAGATGGTGCGCACGGCTGGGACGGAGGGCAGGTAGAGGACGACCTACGAGTAATAAAAGATGGTTGGCGGGCAACAAGAAACACACGGCGGCTAATGAATGGTGAGCGTAGGAGAGCCGATAATAGTTACTTGACAAAGGATAGCTAGTGGCGATCAACTAACATACAAAGTCGATCAATTGACAATAGTTACGGGACGACGAGCGGACAATGACCAAGTAATATTGGGCTTGGGCGATGATCGAAAAACGATCTTAGTAGAAGTTGAACAAAATAATAGAAGAAATAATTAATTAATGTGCGTAAGTTCATTTTAAAAAAGAACTTGGATTTAATCAATGTAGTCAAAAACCTGTGATTATCAAAAGTCATGAGTTGGAAAGTTTTTTAAATTATTATTTATGAGAATATTATTTGGGATAATGTAAATTATATTTGTGTTTGAAAATAATAAGTTTCAAGATTTTGTATCTCAGAGATAATGATTAATACAATTATGTCGTTTTTAAGATTTCTTTTTCTTTTTTTAGAAGTTCAAATATACTCACTAACAAATATGTGTATTTAGCAATTAATTTCAAACTCATTAATTATTTCGTTGCTACTTATTAAAGAACCCCTTTTTTTCCCACTGAAGTTCTTTTGGTTAAATGATTTCGTGATATATAAATTCTGAGAGCAGGAAAATATTGATACTCAATACTTTCAATAAATAAAATCATTGTCAGCGAATAATATATAATATATAGAAATATATTTATTAAAAATTATAATTTAATTTAATTCTTTTTAAATTTGAAATTTAAAAAAAAATGTATTAAATAATTAAAAATTAATAAAAAGTATATTATTGACGAAAAACACATCAAAATATGAAACAAAATACGTGTTTTAACAAAATAAATTTGGTAATTATAATTTTTATATCGACCTTTTTATTAATTTTTGAATTAGTAAATTCAATGAAAATTTTATTTTATATTTTATAAATAAAAATGAAATGTAGATACAAAAGTCTAAGAGGGGGGGCCCTCCAAAAAGTATAATAATACGTGAACTTGCAACCCAAAAAAAAAATAAAAAAATAAAAAATTAATGTCATGTATACTCACGTGAAATTCATTTAAAACACTCTGTCAATTTAAACAGGACGAGTCAGTTTGTGTACTTGCAAAATCTTGAATTAAAAAAATTCTTCAAATTTTGAAGAACTCAACAAGAAAATTGTATATTTTTTATAAACTAGTATACAGTTTATTGATATGAATGATGGAGGTACCCTTTGGAATAATTTAAGTTCTTAAAATATATACATAATAAGTTATATATGTAGTATGCGGGATAATAAATTTTAGCAAAATTTTCTACATATTTTAATTTCTCTGCAAATTATCAACAGGTTGAATGTTTGTAAATATTTTTAACTAAATCAAATGGGTTTTTTTTGTTTCTGTAAATTTTTACGTTGGAGAGTCAGTTTTATCTTTTGCTTTATATAAAATTTTTATGCGTATTATATAAACATATAATATTCAAACTGATAAAATATGGGGAAAGGACAAATTAGTGATTTTAGTTTGGTATGGAGAATAAACAATTAGTGATTAAGAAAAGATTATAAAACTTAGATTATGTTTAACATAATAAAGGATCTTGGTTTTTGTTATTTTTATTTTTTACAAAATCTCATCATCATCAACAACAACATATATCATCCAAACCCAAAAGAAAAAGAAGAAGAAAAATACGATTCCCCCATCAACAAACCTTGCTGGCTACTACTGTTTTAATGTACTATCTTTAGCCCCTGCATTTTGATTCTCTCTCTCTCTCTCTCTCTCTCTCTCAGATATACACAAGAATAGAACTATATTCATCTTTTTCTCTTCTGGGTTTCAACCTGTCTATTTCTTACTCTTGCCGCCTGGTTTTTCCACTAACAGGAGCTAGTTTTTCTATTTTATTTTCATTCTATGGGTGGTAAAAATTATTACACCCACTTAGCATACATTATTCTTTTTCTGCTCGGTGTATGTTGTAGGACCGGGTGTTTCTGATTCGGGGTTCAGTGGAAACCCAGATCTTTGTTAAGCTCTTGAATCGCCTTCTTTCTTGGTTTTATGAGTATAAAATTAACTGAAAAAGCTCCTCATTAAAGTCTGTCTTCCTTCAGCTCATTTGATAAGCTCTTGAAACCAGGCGCTTTTCAGTGGTTTATCAAATAATTCTTCTTTTCTTTTTTGGGAAACCCATATAAGTATATATAAATATTTTCCCCCTCAAAGTTAGCGTCTGCTACTATACACCACAGGAAAACTTGATTACCACTAAATGAATCTAGCTACTGATGCTTGTTGAGTCTAAAGTAGAGTAACTCCTCTTCAGCAGCTTCTCTCTTTCTCTTTCTTCTGCTCTACATGCTTCCCAGCCTGTACAAAATAATAAGGTTGTGGTCTAGCTAGCAAGACTGTTTGTTTTGTGATGTAGTTTGTTTTATTGGAGGAAGAACCATTAGCAAGAAGGGTTTGATACAGTGGCCATCTGGGTTAATCGTTTTGGGGTTAGCTAAACAAAAGCTCTTTTTTGACATTTTGGGAATATTCTACAAGAAAATATAAGAGGATTTGTTTCCGGTTTTGAGGAATGACTAATCAAGGACTGGAGCAAGAATCCTTTTGTCTGATCTGATTTGGTGGTTTCTTTACTGGTTTTTGAGCTTGAGAGGCAATAGGTGAAAATGGCTACAGGGGTTTTAAACCAAGAGAAAATGCCAGAGAACCTGAGGAAACAGCTTGCTCTTGCTGTGAGGAGCATCCAGTGGAGCTATGCAATTTTCTGGTCTATTTCTGCTAGGCAACCAGGGTACAAATACTTCCACTTTTTGCTCTATTTTAGTATTTTTTTTTAAATGTAATATTATTTGTTTTCTTCTCTTTCATTTTTGAAGAATAAAAGCATTTTGAATCTTTTTCAAGATCTTTCTCAAATTCCATCGGTCTAACAACTGCTTTGTTTGTCTATAATCTACATACAGGCTGGTTTTAGCAGCAAAATATTATTTTTGCATTTTTGAAAATTTTCATTGTCTATTGGTGGTTTTCTTCCTCTTACTTTATTGGGGTTATAGAAGCAATTGGACTTCTGTATTATCTTGTATAATATGGAACACAGACTGTTGAAACTGAACTGAAGAAGTAATCTACTAAACTAGCTTTTGGGGCTTTCAAACTGCATTTTGGAAATTTAGAGTATCTCTAAATGGGGGCTCTTGCATATTTAGCACAAGATGGAGAATGGTTCCAGTGGCAAGTACTAATTACATAACTTGGAGGGATTTTTTATGCTTCATTTTCTCTGCTTTGCAAAAGGACAGTTTATAACTACGACCAATAAGGGAATTCATAAATGACTAGGCAGGGATTCTATAATATGATCTGTGTCCAAAACTAAGCCGGCTTTTTGGGGTCCAGTACTTCCTTATATTATATGAGAGTTGGCTTTTATGGGAGAATATGAATTTCACAGGGTCTTAGAGTGGGGCGATGGATACTACAATGGAGATATCAAAACAAGGAAAACAATTCAAGCTGTAGAACAAAATGCTGATCAATTGGGTTTGCGGAGGAGTGAGCAACTAAGAGAGCTCTATGACTTCCTCTCAGCTGGTGAGAATGGCCAACAAGCTAGAAGACCTTCGGCAGCATTGTCCCCCGAAGATCTCAGTGACACCGAGTGGTATTACTTGGTCTGTATGTCATTTGTATTCAACATTGGCCAAGGGTAATTTCCATCATTCCTTGCTGCTTCAGATTTTTCATAGTAGTGATCGTTGTGGTTAATTGTTTCCCTAAATGGTTCTCAGGTTGCCAGGACGAACGTTAACAAGTGGTCAACCTACATGGCTTTGTAATGCTCATTTTGCAGATAGTAAAATGTTTAGTCGCTCTTTGCTAGCAAAGGTAAGTTAAAGTGGTGGCTTTTGCTTGGAAATGAGGGTTCCATTGTGTATTGTAAGTATACTTGTCAGTTTAATATATTCTTAATACCACCCAAATGAACTAACATTTCTTTCTATTTACTTGTTCTTCCATGACTGATGTTGTGACAACTGGTTCCATCAGAGCGCTTCTATTCAGGTAGAGATGCTATCTCTCTTTATCCGAACTATATCTTTACTCTACTGAAGCTTATTATACGTACTTAGTCCCCAATAGCAAAAACAAAAATAAAAGTTTCTGCATTCTCAAGGAAGGGCATGCATAAAGTCATCGTCCATGGAATTGATGGATAAATAATCGTAGGAGTTTTTGTCTTGATCCATCCAACACATCACTTGAACTCATTGTTAATTCATCTGATTGCCACTTGGCCAATTTAGGTGTTCATTTTCGCATCAGAACACAGTGGATTTAAGTCAGCAGATTCCACCCATTTGTTTCCAATCAAACGCCAAACAAGAAACCTATGGAATTACTAACATTGTTAAATTATTAGCATAAAAATCTCAAATTATTTAATATCTCCTGTTTTCATTTCAGACTGTGGTATGCTTTCCATTTTTGGGAGGTGTTGTTGAGTTGGGTGTAACTGATCTGGTAACTTCTATGCAGACCTTAAAAGTTTCAGTATAATCTTTAAAAGATATTTTATTATTTCAAAGCCAAGTGACACTATTCTGCCATTCTGGAATGTTTACTATTGAAGGTTATGGATGACCCTGATCTCATTCAGCATGTTAAGAGTTCAATCTTGGAGATTCCTTGTTCCATAGTCTCCAATAAATCCAACTCTGGAACAAGAAATGCCAGAAATGACAATGATATTGCTCATGCTGTGGTTAAGCCTCAGATTCTTGATGATAAACTGATTCCGGTTATAGAAGGCGGTGAACTACAAATGGCTTCTCCTGACAACAGTTCAGATGGTTTTGAGGCTGGTCAACCCGGAGAAGATTCACTAATGATTGAAAGGATAAATGGAGGAGCTTCTCAGGTACAAAGCTGGCATCTCATTGAGGAAGAGTTCAGTAACTGTGTTCATCATTCCCTGAATTCAAGTGACTGTATATCTCAAACATTTGTCGAGCCTGCAAAGGTTGTCTGTGTTTCCGGAAGTGAAAAAGAAATTAGCCACTGTCTGCAAGACATTCAAGAATACAACCACACTAAACTAACCTCATTGGCTCTTCGAGGTGATGATTTACACTACCAAGGTGTTCTTGCAGCTCTTTTAAAGACTTCCCACCATTTGATTTTAGGACCACTTTTTCGGAATTCTGACCAGGAATCTAGCTTTATTAGCTGGAAACGAGGGCTGGTAAAGTCTCAGAGACCAAAGGAAGGAACCCCTCAAAGACTATTGAAGAAGGTGCTGTTTGAAGTTCCTAGGATGCATGAAAATGGACTATTAGAACTTCCTGAAGACACAGGCATTAAAGATGGAGTTGGGAAATCAGAGGCTGATGAAATTACAAACCATGTATTATCAGAGAGGAGGCGAAGGGAAAAGCTAAATGAAAAATTTATGACTCTAAGATCCATAATTCCTTCAATCAACAAGGTCCTCTTTTTCAACTCGGTTTCGTGAGATGTGGTCATGGGCACTCCTTAAACTCTAAATCTTTTGCTTCTTCTTGCAGGTTGACAAAATTTCTATTCTAGACGACACTATAGAGTATCTGCAAGAGTTGGAGAGAAGGGTTGAAGAGTTGGAATCTTGCAGACAGGCAACTGAATTAGTTCCCATAGTAAAGAGAAAAACACAGGACACTGTAGAGAGGATATCCGATAACTACATGAACAACAAATGTGGTAATGGAAGGAAGGTATTTATAAATAAGAGGAAGGCTTGTGACATTGATATAGGAGAGGAAGAGACTGACAATGTTGTACAAAAGGATGGCTCAATTTCTAATATAACAGTCGGCATACACGGAAAAGAGGTTCGAATTGAACTGAAGTGTCCTTCGAGGGAGGGACTTTTGCTTGAGATCATGGATAAAGCTAGCAGCCTCCACTTAGATTCTCACTCTGTTAAATCATCCACCGTTAATGGAATTCTTTCCGTTACCATCAAATCGAAGGTATAATCTCAAAGTTTTGGGAAAAAATCTGCTTTGGCTTCTCATATTTTGTTCTTCGCTAATAATGACAATTAGTTAAACCTGGATCTTATGTTGTAAAAATCACTAACAACACGAATGTGCTTGTTTCAGTACAAGGGATCAAAGTTTACATCAGCAGGAATGATCAAACAAGAACTCGAAAAAATTGCCTGGAAGTATTGACTGCTCGGGTTTGATTATGACCATTGAGCATGGAATTATGTGTTTTGAATTTTAAAAATCAATGCTTCAATCAGTTGTAATTCTTAGATTATGAAAGGAGTTGTGCAAATTCATGTTGTTAGAATCACAAGGTAATTTTTTTTTTTTTTTTTTTGAAGGATTTTCGACCAGATACACCGAGAATATGTTTGTCTTCAGTTTCTGATATCTACTAGCAAATCTAACAGAAAAATTCTAATGCCTGTTGCCTGATAGGATTAATGTACTTTCTAAATATTTTTTTAAAAAAAAAAATTAAAAATTCATACATTTTAATAATTAAATTGTATTTATATATTAATTAATAATATAATGATATTTTATCGAAATGTATTGTCGGAATGCATGTTTGGTAATATTTTATAATTTTAAATTATTAACAATTTCATAAACTAAAGATTTAATTTTATTTTTGAATTTTTAAGAAATTGATAAATTTCAACTGAATATTTAAAATAACTTTTGGGGTGTACCTAATAATTGATGACTCTGAAACACTACGAATTCTATGGATCGAGACCTCTTTGTTGTTTTCTTCATCAGATTTCTTTTAATTATTTTTCCCAATTTCTTTTTTTTTTTTTGAAAATTTTAAACTTGAAGTTAATCACAATTTTCAATTTGATTTTATTTCATCAGATATTATATAGTAGATTTTGTTTTTTTTTTTGTTATACTTAATTTTAATTTTAGTTTTTGCGTATCATGTATTTATATGTCCGAACAAATATTACGATCATTTATTTTTATTTAAAAATTAAAAATATAAATAATAGAAATTAGATAAAAACACATTTTTTTTTTAATTTTTTTGTTTAATAATAAGTCCTTATTGGGTGGTTTGAATTTTGGACTTTTATATATGTATTCTTACATTTTTATTAAATATTTGAAAATTAATTTAGAATTAAAGCTTATTTTAATTTATTTACACATTTGAAAATTTTATCAAAAAGTTTTGGTGGCCTCGTGCGTTAATAAAAAAAAAAAAAACTCTAATATTTTTTATTAGAAATATTTGAAAACAAAATAATTTTATAAAATTATTAAATACTAAATAAATAATACAACTTGCTTTTTATGAAGATAAAAAAAGAAAAAACAAATTCTGGTTTCTCTTCAGCCAAGAAAGCTTTGTCACTTTCTTTATTGACAAGACATTGTTAATTAATTGTACAGTCAAAAATAAAAAAAAGTAAATTTTGAAATTCTTTTTATTTTTTATTCATTTTTAGAATTTTATTATTTATTTGTAGGACACAATGATTTGCATGGCTCAGACTCGGAAGAAGATAGTGATTCTTTCGTAATTGTTAAGTTTCGAAACTTAAAAGAAAATAAAATCATAAATTAAATGCGGAAGCGAAATAATAAAATTTAGGATTTACATTATTTACAGAATAATTTAAAATGCCTAATAAGGTTACAAGAATTATCATTCTAAAAGAACAAATGAAAATCAAAAAAATAAATAAAGGGCAACATGTTGAGTATTTTAGGACGACCTTCACTAACTTTTGAAGGTAGTCCGGATGGTGAACTATTCACAACCCTCTTCTTGATCGGGATTTGGGTCTTGGTTCTTTTGATCTGAAATAATTAATGAAAGGGTGAGTTACACTAACTCAGTAAGAATTTCATACTACTCACAGACACAATTGAAGGTTGGTAAAAATTATAAAAACAAATAATAGAGTTCTTGATTTAAGTAAATTCATTTATTATAAAGAAAATCATTTATTGCATATATTTACCGTTATAAAATTTTCAATTTAAATTTTCAAAATTGACTTATAAAGACAATAACTTAAATAATATTATAATCTCATATTCAAGTGAGCAAAAACAACTTTCCTTTTTTATTTGCATACTAGTATCTATGGAGATCTATAGGGATGTTTAACTACGTATGAAACAATATCCAACATTGCAACTAACTAGCCGTCCCCATACCTCGCTCGGTATGAGCGCCAAAAATATCATCCCTCAATACCCCGTCCGGTATGAGAGTGAATCGGATCGTCCCCATAACCCGTCCGGTATAAGTGTTAAAAATACCATTCATCGATACCTCATATGGTATGAGACAACATTTATGGTAGGGTTCCTTATGTACTTGATCCGTCCACCATCTTTCATGATATCCAGTAAGACTACCATTTATTAATTTATATAACCAAATAATTTTTCGTTTGGATATTAATTTTCAATGTCACAAATCAACCGTAAATCATGCAAGATTAATAATATATATATCAAACAAGCACAACTAAATTGTTTAGTCATTCTAATATATCATCATGTATTTAAAACTGTAAATTCAATAATCAATTATACAAGACAATAAATAAATGACTAACTCGTTTTGGCTCTATTAATAACATATAATTATTCTCAAAATTTTCTAAATTACACAAAATATCATATTATCGATTATTAAGCTTTAATTCCATAACAGAAAATAAGGTGATGGATTCTTACTCGAATCGATATTCGAAATATCAAATTTTTTACTGCGTCTACTGGCGGTTCTCAGATTTTCTAAATTTTCCTACAAAGATTACAACACGCTTACGTATCTAAAAATACTCCAAAAATCTAAAATCGATGTTAAAAATTTTTTTTCGGACAATTTCGAGATTCTGGCACGGCGAGACCGCTATGTTCCGATGAGGCACCGCCGTCCGCGATAGTGGTTTACCTTGGTCTGACCATTTTCAACTAGTTTTGACCGATTTTATACTCATCCCTGTAAGAAAACACGTTAAGGGATTTCGATCGGTCTAAAAAAGTTAAAAAACGGAAACCTACCGGTAGTGAAATTTTTTGATATGACGGCTCTGCCAACCCACCTTCACAGCTGTGCATTTTTCTTCAGTTAATATGTAGAAAACAGAACGGTGAACACAATTATTGAAAAATTGCACGAAACAAGAAACGGAAAAGGGCTCATCAGAGGAGGTTACGTGTTTTACCTGCGGTTTTCGGCTCACCCGCTGTTCTTTTGCTCCGATTTTGCCATGGGGGTACTCAAAATTAAATTCTAAATGGATAGGAGAATTTTTACCTTTTTTGGCGGTCGGAGGTGGCTTCGGCGCAGCGGCGGGTGACAGTCGACTCTCTTCTCCAACTACTGGTTTTTCTTCTCTACTAGGAGGCTGACTGCTAGGGTTTGGGTTCAGTGTGATGCAAAATATTTATACTTGTCTCGCGTTAATCTGGGTCATTCATCGCATTTGATCTCAACCGTCCGATCGTGTTTAAAGAAGAAATGAATCTTAATCGTTCATCGCGATTTGATCTCGACCGTCCGATTATGTTTAAAGAGGAAATGAATTTTATCGTTCATCGCGTTTAATCGCGACTGTCTGATCGCGCCTGAGGAGGAAACGGATCCGAATCATCTGATCGCGTTTAAATTGAGAACAAATTTAGATCGTTCATCACGTTTAATCGCGCCTGAGGAGGGAACGGATCCGGACCGTCCACGCGCGCGGGAATGCTTTTAGATGGTCCGATCGGGGGACGCATGGATCACCAGCGTAGCCTCTCGCGTGGCACCGAGTCAGCGTGTCTTGTCATGCGGCGCGCTCCGATTAGTCGAGATTGCTGATTGGGCGGTCCTACGTGGCAAAATTTTCTTTGGTTGCGTTTTGACCCACAGTTTTCGATTTTTCTTTCAAAAACTCTATCCGAACTCAAAATTTCACTCGTTTTTTTTAAATTGTTTTCAATTTTATTCTCAATCTATTTTTTTTTTATAATTTCGCATTAAATTAATTTTAAAATAGATTTTTATATATTTTTTTATATTAAAATTAATTTAAGTCCGAATA